TCTTATACAGAGTAGCAGATGTTTTCCAGACTCATAGAGATGATTCTGCATGAGTTATAATGAACCATATCAAATCAAGAGTAAAATAATAAGTACAATTTTTTATTATACAATTCTAATTTTGCCCACAAACTTTCGAGGCAAATGTATTCAAATCATTACCATGTTAAACAAATACATTTAACCCTTGTGCTGTTCTGAAAAGCCTCGATCGAATTGGTATTTCTTTTTGAAACTGATTGATTATAGACCTCGAAAACTGATGTGCATAAGTTGAGATCAATGAGGCCTATGAACAATCAGTTCTAAATATAAATACAAAGTGTCTGCAAACGGTTGACAAAACAAGATTTGGAGATAATATACCATAATGAGAGAGTTACAAAAAATGTTTTAAAGTAAGTAAAGTAAGAAAGTAAATAAATATACGCTAAATATATGTTATAAACACTGAAGCTCAATGACATATATTTTTGAAATTGAAAATATATTTACTGTTTCAACCGAATACAACAAACTATTCATTATTATTATTTATTCATTATATTTTTTTATTCAAATGTGTCGTATGTTTGACGTTACAGACCACAAATGAAGTTTTCCTCATATGTGACTGTATTTCTTGGAAATAAATACATCAAGGGCAAAATATAGTTTTAAATGCTTTTAAAAAACTTTATATTAAATATTTTTTAGAGAAGGTACAGAAGAAAGAAATGTAGAGAGTATATTTATGTATTAGAAAATATGATTTATATATATATATATAAATATAATTTTTTTTTACTGTGGTATAGTCTGCACAGTTGCTATTTGCACAAAACGTTGTAAAAAGAACTGAAAATTACATGTAATAAATGCATGCAAAATTTCCTTTCACTTACAATAACTTATAATACCTAACACTTGTATGGCTCTTGAACTTTTTTTCATTTCTTTTAAAGTTCAATCAGAGATCAAACTTGCCACTGTAAAGTAGTATTTAGATCACTTCACCTCTTACACGCCATGTAGTTTGTTAGTGAGCAGAAAATAAAATAACTCACCATTACAGACGCGATGCCACAGCTGAGTGTTCAGCTAAACTTCAAGCATTGCGTGGTGGGCGTGTCTTAAAATGAAGTGTGTCTGGAGTGTATCGAAGCATCTGCCCAGAGGTGTGTTTAGGAGCCTTGAGCAATTATCAGTAGAGAGCAGGTCACATGCTTTCCTAACAAAAACCCGCACAAGACCAAACTGACGTCAGAATGAACCACAAACAAAGTAGTGTTTGTATTGGAATAGCATGGCCTCATTTGCAGACTGTGACCTGTGCTAGAGACGTTTCTTTATCAAACACCAATACAAATGCAACATTCCAGCTCAGATGGAGCAGATGCAGACGCACATGAAATTAAATCTCAAGTCTGTGTATCTGTTGCATAGTTTAGAGGGAGCTTGGCTTGTAGGCAAAACAAAGACATAAATGAGTCAGTATGTATTTTTAAACATAAACATAAAATGCTGGTTTATTAACTAAAACTAAAATTAAAAGCATACACTTTTTTTCATTGCTTGCACTATAAATAAAATTAAATATAAAAACATTTTAGGCCAGCTAGTTGTTAAGGCAAACTTTTGTTTACCTCGATGTACTAAGCTAAGCGGACTATGAAGAGGATTAAAGAGAAGATGTACTAAGCTAAAACTAAAACTGAAATGGATATATACATACACTGTAAAAACAAATCCGTAAAATTTACAGTAAAAAACCGACAGCTGTGGTTGCTGGAATTTTACCGTAAAAAAATACGATATCAACGTTTTAGGTTTTATGGTTAAAAAGTTTTTTTTTTTAAAGGTTAGGTTTTTAACTTAAATTTACAGTTAAATACCGTAATTTCATTAACTGATATAATATTAATTTACCAACCTATTGAAGTACTGAAATCTGTTTTGTATCTTTGTAATACACTGATAACCACCAAATGCAGGAGGTGATGAGAAAGTCACATGATGAACCAAAGCCCATCACAAGCAGCTTTTAAATAATAACACATATAGAAGGTGCACAGTGTCTTTCACACAAACACTAAACACCATCACGGTAACACACATGAGACTGAAATAATGCAATAAACATTCATTTAACAACATTAGGTGTAACATTTGTCAAATATATTGTTTGGCCATTTTTGGTATATTTTAAAACATTTTTAAAAATATATGTGAAAATCTATATTTTTGGGTTACTCTGACCAGCAGATAATTTTTTTCTCTTCTTTTTTTAACATTCAAGGGAATGATGTTTATTAAAAAGTTAAATAAGAATACATGAATATAATTAGCTCAGACCATTGTCAAAAAATAGTGCACATGACCCAGTAGAGGACATTGTCATTACTTATCACAAAACCACTGTTTATTTACAGTGATTTATGATAAAAATGTATTATAGGCTTTTTAGTGACTTCACAGTCAAATTCACACTGTTATATGAAACACAAAATAACGTGACCATATGTGACCGTTGCCTTTATTTACAGTATGTCAGTGTGGTTGTATTGTGTTTCTTTGTTACCCACAGCTATAGCAAAAAATATGATGCGAGTGAAATTTGAGTTTGGAAGACAGAATTCACTAAATATGCCCTAAATTAAGAAATATAGAACATACTATATAACCAGAGCAAGAGAAACTATGCTTGCAGCATAACTGAGGTTGGCTCTTAAAACCAACCAGATGCACTGCAATGGAGGTCAAAGGACATATAATGATTCATATTTTCTAATCTGTGTGTGCTAACAGAGACAAAATGAAGCCGTGAAGCCGGAAACACACTGGCCATGGCTCTGGATACGCACGTCCTGATCTTGGCATAGTTTTCCATAAACGACCAGAAATAGACTCAGTATCACTTGTGCTTATTGAAAAGTGCAATGTGATCCTGCCAAAAGCATAATCCATGATATTTTGTTCCATTTAAAGTGGATTGTTTGTATTATACGTGTGTATTACGTTTGTATTATGTATTTATTTGTATTGAACAGAAAGGAAATATTAATGGAGCCAGAGATGTGTTTGAAGCTGATGTTATCAGGATCAATATGTAAGAGACTGCATAAACAAATTCTGTCATTTGTGGATATATTATTATCATATAAATGCAAAAATAAACATCAATTCTATTCGGACGTCTCAATATGTAAAGGTGCTTATCGCCATGAAATATAATATCGAATATGAGCGATAACATTACAAAATGTCTTCACTTGACTCTATAGAGGAGGTCAGCTTTCGTTTGTGATGGATTGCATTTGAAAAATTGTAAATGAAAACCATTGAATCAAACATATTATAAATGCATTTCAGCATTAATGACAGTTTGATGAGAGGAACTGGTTACAACTTCATTTACTGCGTAGTTTCTGCCAAGAGATGCCAGTTATGTAGCTTCTGCTCACAGATTATGCAGAATAGACTTGAAACTAACCAATTTGATGCATTATTTATTATTACTGTCATTACTTGCAAGGAAGGAACTGGAAGAACAGAAAACTGGCAACTGCTTATAAGGCCTTTCCAGTTAAACCAGGCCTACGCACATAAAATGTGTTGTCAGAAGGCAGACAATGGCAACAGTACACAATGTTCCCTACTGAGGGAACTCCCCCTGTGTGCAGCTGGCACGAAACGCAGCATGACCTTTTACACATTCAAAATCGCCGTGACATTTTTCTTGACACATTTAGACATTTTTATTATTTCGTAAACCTCATAAATGGCTCAGAGAGCTCAGAATTATGACTTTAAACAAGTTGTTCGAGAAAGGCACCAACGGCACAATGCAGGACAAAAACGGACCGTAGCATAATCGCGGCGAGAGGGGGGTCCCGACTTAACATTAACACAAGAGTGGCTTTAAATAATAAGTGTATATAATTTAAACACAATTTAACAAATATGTTTCACCCGTTATTCTTATAAAAGCAAAGGCAGAGTACAATATCAACAAAGTAATAACAACAAAAAGTGATAGGGGGTCCAAGAAATAATATAGCCTTAATATTGCTATAGCCTAAAGTTTTTCCAGACTGTAAAGTCGTTTTTTTAAATCTTGATACATAGGCCTACTGTGATTTATTCCAAAGTGACTTATATGATGCATTTAATGTAAAATAATCTAAATTAAGCCTTTTAAAAGACGAGTATTCCCTGTGGTTCATGTTTGCGGCTTGCACCAGAAAGATGCTCAGCTGATGCAAAGAATAGAATTTATATCTACACAGAAGAAAGCCCTGTCTAGACAATGCCTCGGTACGAGTTGTGTCGAGCTATTCATTTGACTGATTGTTTGATGAAAAAAAGATTGAATGCAGTGGAGGACTATTATTCTGCTGCATCGTACTGCAGAAGAACTGATGACGGCACGGTTTGATCTTCGGCTGACCAATCAGCAGAAAGGGGCGTTTAATTCCCGCCCACATGTAGAAATCAAATATTCAAGCTGTTTATTCATTTTTCCACCCATGAACGAAAAACATAAATTTAAGCTGAATTCTCGTTTTTTTTGGAAAAAAACGAAAAAACTAAGAAGGAGCCATTTTCTCATTTTTCTACTTTCAATATTAAATCAAAAAACGAATGATCGAATGATACACGGATTGTGTTTGCTTCCGTTGTGTGTTATGATGATGAATGGATATGTAAATAATCTGACAAAAATGAAACTTTTCAAAGACGAGAGGCGAAAATGTTAATGCTTAATCATATTTTCCGCGTGAAATAGTTTAAATACTTAAATGCAATCATCTCAGAATATTAAATCTATTAAACATATATTTTTTTTATAAATCTGTTCTTTTAAATAATATATTTTTTTATATTAATATTGTAATTTTTAATTTCCAGAGACCAAGACCTGACAAACTGGCAATTTATTATAAACTGCTGGTGGTTTTCCAGTGAAACTAGGCTAGAAATGTAACAATTGCTGAACTGTTTAGTAGCCTATTGTCTCACACTTATGTTTTATTATGTTTCTTCAACCAGAAATCAGTAGCGACGATCATCTCCTCGGAGAAATGGAGCCCAGTGATTTACTACAGGAGGCCGAGTGGTACTGGGCTGACATATCCAGGTAAGATTGCGTTTTTCTTTAAAGGTAGGGTGTGTGATTTTTTCAAAAACACTTTAGAAAACTGATTCGGGCCGAATCGCAAAACAGACTTGTAGCCAATCAGCAATAAGGGGCGTGTCTACTCATGGTGTGGAGGAGAGAGGGTTCAGTGCACAGGACGGACATTATTAGCGAGCCGAGCGACAAAGATAGAGATGGCGGATAAAAAACAAAAGAGGAAAACGTCTGCTGTACGATAAGGCAAGAAGTAGGACCCGTGTAAATTATCGGATCAGCTTTCCAGTGCTGGAGAGAACTCAAGGAGCGGAAGGCCTGCGATCGGACGCCGAGGTTGCTTTGTTTCTTCTCGATAGCTGAGTAACACCGTGTCTACAACAGCTAAAGTCTGTCTACGCTGGACGCGATCAAACCACCGCTGAACACCATTTGAAATGTGTGTCAGCACGTCATAAATAGAACCCGGCAGCAGTTTTCTGTCGGGATTTGTTGCGCCGCTCACATCTGGTGTAGACTCGGTGTAACATTGGTTTTGCTTTGTTTCACAGAACTAATCGTTGTCTGGGTTGAGTACGTATGTGTGGGGCGGAGCTATCAAAATAGGGGCGAGACCCTTTTGGGGTAGGGGCGTGCTTGTTTTGATGATTTCAAATATCAACATTGGCTACCAGAAATCACTTACCCTGCGTTTTAAAGCATTTATCAGTTTGCTTGCTTATTATTCAATTAATACCACTTACAACCAAACTCCACTGTGTCGAACCATTAGGGAGGAGGTGAATGAAGTTCTCCACGGCATGCCTGACGGTGCTTTCCTGGTCCGAAATGCTTCCTGCAAGCGGCAGGGAGAATATACATTAACCATTAGGTAAGGATCGCATGTTTCGGGATTCCTGCTTTGTTGAAAACACAGCAGTTAAGTGTTATGAACTGTCTTTAACTGAAAAATGAGTGTTCACTATTATCATTTTGCATTATTGACACTATTTTCCTAATTAATGCTGTTCAGTTGCTTTGACACAATCTGTATTGTTAAAAGCGCGATATAAATAAAGGTGACTTGACTTGACTTATTAGCATCAGACAGTGGCCAACCAATCATTAGCCACTTTCATGCATGAAACAGACTTTGCTTGCTGCACATTAGCGCCAACGTCATTGAAACTGATGTGATTAGCTTGTATTTTAGCATCAGTTTAATTAGCAGGCGGTGTAAATATACAGAAAAACTGCACTTAAGTTAAAGATATGTACAATTTTTACTCATTTTAAAAGTACCTATTCCAAAAAAATACTTGCGTGAAAGTAAAAATATCCACATTTGTAAAAATATGTAAAGCATCCACATTTAATTGTACTTAAGTATTGAAAAGTTAAAGCTTTTTACATTGAAAACAGCCGTAGAGATTCTCAGCAGGTGTTAAAGAAACCCAACATCCTTAAAGCTGTTCCTTGAGTATTTCCAGCAGATGGTTTTACACTGGATTGATATTTGAATAGTTATTTTTAGACTAATAATCATGCACTCCGTTCGCACTCGATTCAAGTTCAATCTACAGAGGAGATGTTATTAAATAAACACATGACTAAAGTTTAAAGTCTGTGTCTGAAAGGGATCATGCTTTACACCGCTGCTAATTTAATAGTTTTTTTTGTTGTTTTTTTTGCACTGTATAGATAATTTACTCTCTTTTTGCTTATCAGAGCATCCTAACCTTGAATTTTCTTAAATGTAATTTGCTGTTAAGTTAATCTCATTTGCAACTTCTTAAGCAGGCAAATAAGACTGCAAGTTGCCGGATATGATTTGTTGTAATTTCCACGGCATTCATAGAAAAGGCTGTATGTGTGAAATCCCCCACAGGAACAATGGCACCAACAAACTCATCAGGATCCACCATCAAGATGGCAAATTTGGGTTCTCCGAGCCTCTGACCTTCAGCTCGGTGCCGGAGCTGATCTCTTACTACAGGCATCGGAGCTTAGTCCAGTACAACAGCTCCCTGGATGTCACGCTGGCTTATCCCGTGTCCCACTGTGACCCGCTTCCTACCTCGTCTGTGAGTCTCATGGGGAAGATCATCTTGGTTGAAAGGCATCTTTTGTTAATGTATTTATTTTTTTTCTCCAACAAGTGAACACCTTTTGCGATTAAACGTATTGCGTTTTCAGGATCTGCCTGTGAAGGAAGAGTTTTTGAGTGCAACTAGAGAGAAGCTCCATGAATGTTTGAGACTGTTTCAGAAGACGGCCGAGTATGACCAGCTGTATGATGCTTGCACTACGCTGTTACAGGTAAGACATGGAAAAGGTTCAAATCAGCGTTATTATAGTGTTGTGTTTTTTTAATATTCTTTTCAATTCGCAACTGAATTTCTGTTTTAGTATTTTTCTTCAATTTCTTTGGTAGTTTGTATTAGTTTTAAAAAAACAATACCATGTGGTTTATTTATTTTTATTTTATTCATACATGTGTGTGTGTGTGTATGTGTGTGTGTGTGTGTGTGTGTGTATATATATATATATATATATATATATATATATATATGTATATGTATGTATATGTATATGTATATGTATATGTATATGTATATGTATATGTATATGTATATGTATATGTATATGTATATGTATATGTATATGTATATGTATATGTATATGTATATGTATATGTATATGTATATGTATATGTATATGTATATGTATATGTATATGTATATGTATATGTATATGTATATGTATATGTATATG